GAACTTGACGATAGGCTGACTCGACAGAACAAAAACAGATTCACCTGTGAATTATTAATAAAAAAACAACTTCCAAACCCAAATAAGATCAGAAATAGAAAAACCCACTTCTAAAAATAGGGGTACCAGGCAGGGGAAACAATAAGAGGAAAATGAAGAATTCTCAACTCTATTTAGTTTGCATCGCCCATGGGATATTCAAGTTGCAGGACAGTGATTTTGTTTGTTACTATGCATTAGCAACACAATCTTGCATGTGCATGGGACTTAATCTCCGAACATATTTTATACTCATGTTCTCACTTAATCCTCACAACACCCCTCTAGGATACTGTTACTACACGTTAAGAGAGGAGAGGAAATCATGGTTTGGAGAAGTTAAATGGCTTGCCCAAAGTCCTACAGCTAGTTCACACCTTCTGTTTCCAATCAGAAGCTACTGCCATTATGCCATACCTGCTTCTCTGTGCAAGCTTACAGCCTCTCTTTAGTTCAGCCTAGCACACATTTTTATTTCTGTGTCCCTCTAGAAGTCGCCACTATTTTCAATGTAGCAAAAACCTGCAGAAACTGGGTCATTTTGGGGCACAGCCCACAAAATTAAAAGGGGGGGGTTACAGATATCCAATTCTACAATACCTTTAATTGGTCATATCTTAAAGTAGGAGTCTGAACCCCAGGAGGACAAGAGGCTGCAGTGAATTTATGGTGCATTAGGCATTGCAGCCTGAGCAGCCAAGTCTGCAAGTCATCCTCAGAACCAACTAATGTGTTTTACCACTAACAAGGCCAGCAGAGCATAAATGTGAGCAAGAAGGCAACCCCAAAACTGTGCACGTTACATACCTCTCAGCAAAATGTTACCCCTAGCATTTCCTTTATCCTTATTCCAAAACACAAGACCTATATATTTTCATTTATGTACTGAGTCTTTAAAGGTTGGAGCACCTCTTTTGCTTCTGCATAGTTATATTTTTAAGAAATTTCATAAAAGCAGTTATTATATAAATATGTTTGGTTTCTTTGCAGAAAGGCGTAACAATTTAAAAAAAAATACAAGCCCTTAACATGCTATGTTCCTGTTTAATGAAATCTGTATATGAAAGATTAAATCATCTAAATAGTTGTTTACAAGCCTAAAAATGAACTAGTTTCTAGGACAGAAAAGCATTATTGCGATATGTTTAATTCCTTTTTTAAAGAAACCTTGAGAATATAAAATTAAATTAAGCCACGTTTCCATAGACAGGGGTAATTAAATCAGGAAATTAAGCAGCTGGTGGCATTGCTGCTTGGTAGATTAAGGCATCTATAAGACACTGCCTGGGACAGCTGGCCCCCAGGTCACCTCTTACCTGGATGCATCTGTTCTGTGCCGCTCCGCAGTTTGCTGTAGCCATGGCTCAAGGGCACCCTCTGGTAATGAGGCGGAGAAGAAGGAGGGGAGGCAAGGGGTGACATCGTAGGAGACTGTGTTTCCTGCTTCAAAGAACCAGAGCAGAGTTCAGAGGCAACCACTGGAGAAGCCCGGCATTCTAAGCTGCAGTCAGAAAGCATAATGCAACTCTACTGCTGGTGACCCGGCTAATTTAACAAATGGGGGGAAATGTTTTCTCAAAAATGCAGCACGGTTAAAAAGCAGTGTCTGAGGATTCAAGTCTCCCAGAGAATAAAGTCTCATCAGTGCTGAGTTACCTAAATTACTGAAACCAGCCTGAAACACTGAGTTATTCCAATAATATTTTCCTTTGCGAAACGAAAGACACCGATCACATGAAATAACATTCATACCCCGCCAATTGTGATCTCTTCGTGGATAGATTAAGTTTTCATTCTTTAACAAAGACTCCTATTTCCTGAATTTATACTTATCAACTCTTGCAGCAAATGTAAATATCAAAATATATTTAAATGCTTAATGCTAAAATAGTCTTGGAGCTTACTATGCCAAAGTAAAATGATAGCTTTTATTTTCCATAATGAGAGACCACAAAACAATTCATTATGAGTAAACCACTCCAACTAGTTTACTCCTAAATGCTAAGATGAAGGCTTAACAAGCTACAATTTGAATCCCAATTTGAATACGAACCTGATGTAGGACCCTCGGCAAGGTAAGCAACTGTTAACGGAAAAAAGGCCAAACTCTATAAAATAATTTTAAAAAGATTTATTCTGAGCCAAATTTGAGGACCACGACCCGGAGCCATGCCCA